CCCCAAAACCCCAAAACCCCAAAACCCCAAAACCCCTTGATGCATTATGCGATTCATTTAATTAGAAGATTGATTACTATAATTTATAATAATGGAAGTATTAGTCAATTATCTTCAATAAGATTTCATTATCTAGGAAGGTGATTAAGATTCTAGGGACGTCTACAATTTGATTTCAGAAAATAAAGATATATAAAACTAAGTCAGAGGTGTTTAATAAAAATGCCAGTAAGTAGATAGAAACGAAGAGGATTTTAATTAAGAGTTATAAAAATGCGATGATATTCTGAATGAGTATCATCAGATTCAAGATCTATAGAGATAAGTAAAAGTAGTGGAACTATTTCAAGACCTAGAGGAGAAAATTTAGAAAATGAAATCAATTTAATACGATTAGACTGCTTATGCTAAACTATGCAAAAGCATATCCCAATTAAGTTCAATTAAATCTTAGTTAGCAAATATTAATGATAGATTTAAGACATATTAACTCAATGCAAATGATTGCATTCATGAGTCAATTAGTAATCACATTATCAAGTTAGGCTCGTAAATATTTTCATCCAAGGCTGGTTAGAAACTATAAGCATCAGAAAATGATCTATTAGACTTTAAAAATATATTACAGATTATCGAGATTTCATAGAGTTTTATAGGGATTTAAACTAACCTTTCAAAACTATTGTTCTCTAAGTAACTTGAAAAACTGACCTATCACTATTTGAGGTCTGAAAGTGAACTCTACAGTACTGCTAACCCTGAATGGCTTTTCAAGTATATGTTGGAGCAACTCTAATCATTTAAGGATAAATTTATTAAGATCATTGGAGATGATATTGATCAGCTCATTGATATTTATGTTCGAATTGTTGCCCAATAGATTGTCCTAGTCAGATATAACTTTTAAAGAGAGATCTTGTCAGAAAATTCAAATGGAATGAATGTTAAAGAAGTTAATTTAAAGTTTCTTAATACAGTTATTAACTATGATCATTTGATTTTAAAGCTAAATATCAGAGAATCATAAGAATTGCCTATTACTATACTCGGATTAATGATTGAATAGGATTAAATTAGGCATGAAGTTATAGAGCTATTGAAAAATGAACTCATCGAGATATTCACTACATAGTATAATAATCTATATGAAGAAAAAGGCTAAATTCTATTGGTTCTGAAGACTTCTTCGCTATAAAAGCTTGTGACAGCAAATTTATAGAGATTTGAGATTTATAGCGAATCTGTGAGAAGAGAAGTATTACTGTTCTATTTAGAAAACGTAATAAAAGTTCTTAAAAATGCTATCAATGAGCAGGAGTATCTAATGCTTGATCTTGCAACTAAATCTCATTTCAATTAATTTACCGATACATTAAGAGAGCTGAGATAATTTAAGAAAGAAATTTTGAATAGTTTAACTTGCAATAATCAATTAAAATAAGATATAAACTCATTATTCGACTATCAGCTCTTGAATAAACTTAATCAACTGGTGATTACTCACTTTGAAGCTAAAGTCATACCTTAAAGAGACTAGAGCGATTTTAATACTTAGTTAATACTAAGATTAAAAGCCTATTTTGCTAAAATATACTAGGAATTGCAAGGTAGAGTCACTGCTAAGTGGGCGATTAAGGTTACTATACAAATGCTTATGAGAATAAAAAAGGATATAGAATAGATTTTATCTTAGTTTAGGAAAGATGACTATGCTACGATTTAAACCTTCAAGGAACTTAAATTTGATCTGAATCTGATTATGGACCAATATTCATTTGATTTTAAGTTTTGATAATTATATTCTTCGATTATAATTAAATAAATTTAAACTAATATGGGGTTTTGGGGTTTTGGGGTTTTGGGG